ACCCCCGTCCAAGCCACTACAATTTTGAGATGCACCCATAGCATGAAATTTATTAGGAATAAAGACTTCTGAGTTCTGGTGCATTAGTGCATGAGGGGGTCATTATGTTACCGCTATGTGGTATCTAGTTTGTTAACATCTTTGCTTTCATTGGATTTAAAACACAATGATTCAAATCCAAAACCAGAGCAGTCCATTGGCGTTTGATAGAGGGGTTTATGGCTATCTAGCAGCGTAGAACATTTTTTTTATTTTTTTGAACACACCATCTTTTAGGACACTAGTTTCGCTTTTTGTTTTTTTCTGGTCTTGGTCTTGACTCAGTCTTGCCTTCCCTTGGTCTTGGTCTCGACTTGGTCCAAACCCTAAAAGTCTTGGTCTTGTCTTGGTCTCGCCCTCCCTTGGTCTTGGTCTCGACTTGGTCCAAACCCTAAAAGTCTAGGTCTTGTCTTTCTTGGTCTTGACTTGGTCTCAGGTTAGGTGGTCTTGACTACAACACTAGCATGTGCTAACTAATCATATCGATTAAAGGCACATTCTGTTTGAGTTGACCGTGACATGAGTCACTCAAAGCAGATTGCACATCAATTAAATCACAGCCTAATCATAAAAATAGATAATTACATAGATATTTATGCAACTAGATTATCAAAACATAGCCTAGTATTTCTAGGTAAAATACAGTATGTGTAGTGCTTTAAAAATCAGTGTTAAACAAAATAAATTTTCTTCAACATAAGATAGTTCAGTTTAAAACTCTGGCATGAAGAGCTGCAGGTGATACACGATCCATTGCTAAGCTATCAGTTTAGATTTTATGGTTATGTGAAAGCACAAATGGTGTAATAACTAGAGCTTCCTGTGCAGCCTTGGGCATTCTGACAGAAATATAAGAATATTTCTGCTACAATAACTGTATAATGTGAAATCAATGGTCATTTAAAGGTTTAAATATTAGCACTTGCCTAAACTGCTGTGAAATTTGGAAAATTAAAGTTATTTAAAATAGTATTCACTCTCTTTGGAAGTGGGTATGTTTGCATAAGTTGATATTAGTTCATCAGTATGGTCTAAGATAAACTAATAATCAAGTTGCCACACATCCCGTTTGGTCTTAACTGAGTTTGAATTAGTCCAAGCTTACATTTATTCTGAGAGACACTTCTTTCTTTTTCTTCTTCAGCTTCAGGCAGCAAGTAAAGCATTGTGCAGAGTTTACTTCAGCTTAGATGTGTGTCCACTCTAATACATCAAATACTGATAACACATTTTTCTTACACTATCTGCAATTTACCTGAAAGACTACAGTACACATTCAGGCTGATTCATCTCATGGGAGACTTTCCTTCCTGAAGTTAATAGTTATTGTAGCAGGTAGGATTTGTGTGTGTCAGGAGCTTTACCTGGCCACGTGGTTAATTACGGGGGAGAAGTGGGTGGGTCCGTAGAGCCGCACAGTTTTTAGACTCTGGTAGTAGGCCTCCAGTACTCCCTCGATGCCACTGCAGTATGGGTTCTGTAGATTACCGTTCTGCACAACCAAAGAAATACAAATGAGTTGGATGAGTTCTGATATGGAGACTGTCTCTGGGCGAGGAGAGCCAATAAACAGATAAACAATTTATTGTGGAGTTTAAACCAATCACAGTCAGAACAGTTATTTCCCTCATGTAAGCTGCAATTCTGCTGAATCAAAGGTAATATTTGCTTGACATCAGTGGTAGCTGTCTGTTCCTGACAAAGAGCATGAATCAAAGCCTGTAAAAAATACTTCAGTACAACACTGTTATTTGATAATGAACATAATAAAAACTTAATAAAACCAAACTTTTGTTATTTTCATACAATTGTAAAAAAAGGGTATTTTATTTTGAAAACTGACCATGTTCATTTGCAGCTCTTCCCTGTGCTTGACACAGTCATAGTTATTGTTCAAGTACTAGCAAACACACAAGCTAAATTAAACAAAAAATAAGTAATAAAAAAAGGTTGGGGGGTGTCACAGTACCAGTTTTTCCTCAAACTGAATACAAGTGTGAGTCCTTCAGTTTGGGTACTTGCTGTTACAGTGCACCAATACTGAGCACTTACTGAGTTAGAACTTGAACATTAAATTGTTAGAAAGTGTTCAAAAATTGCATGCCAAAATAACTGCACAGAAAACCAAGTTCAGAACACCCTGATCACAACTCTGGGGCTGGTACCTTTTACATCAACGTTTGAATGTCAACAATTCTATGGCCCTGTCCCAATACTCACACTTCCACCCTTGTGTCCTTCAAATGTGCGTTCCTGTTGAAGGGTTCAAGCTTGGAGTGGTCCCCCCCCCCGCCCCCGCCCCTTTTGTGTCCTTGATTCCCCCTTCAGCTAAGCTCATCTGAGTGGGCTTCGACAAAGTGTTGACAAAGTTTTGAATTAAAAGACAGAAATATGGCAATGTCCACCGAGCACCTTCCAGTTTAGCGGTGGCAGTAATGCACTTAAATTAGTTGACCAACTGCCAATAAAATAAAAAAGGGAGAATGTTCACAGAGCAAACTGGCAAGGGTCTGGTGTATAAGCCTCCTTCGATTCATGCACTATTTTTTTCCTAAAAACAATTGCTTGTTGTACAGTAGTTGTACCATCATTTTTAGCAGTACAAATGCCAAAACAACGACCGGTCCCGCCATTTTGGATGTTGCATTTACAATGCAAAAGCGTGAGTCGATGACATAACGTTTACTGTCCCAATTTTCCAATATTTGCAGACTTGTAACCCGTGCACTCAAACCTTTATGTGCACTTCCACTGAGTACACTTCATGGAGGGGCGTAGGGTGTAGTGAGAGTATTCGGACCAGGTCTATGCTTATCCTACAGGAGAGGGACACATTAAGTAGTGACATGTTTCTCATATGATTCTTATCACTGTTTAAAGTAAATAACTACAATTGCTCACACAGTATAAGAAATAAGAAGAGAAGGCTTTGTTTCTTCTTTTCTGAGCTGCAGAAGTGGTGTACTTCCTTCATGAAATTGTGAACTTCTCTTGAAAAAGGCAGTCAAACCGAGAAGTTTAAACTACTTTCTGCAGCACGCGTAAAACTGATGCAAAACTGAGACGCATACATAAAAACTACATTAGCACTGGGTTTTAAACAACAGCATTACGCTGTACATGATATTTGGTTAAAATGCAGATACAAGAAAATCAAGAACAGCAAAGTCCCGAGAAAGGAAAGAAAAAGCTTTGATTATTCTTATTAGAGAAACGTCTGAAAATTTATCTCTAGAACGATCAGCATTTGGGTCCAATTTGTTGGGTAACAAAATTACAGGCAATATAATATCCGCTGTAGGGTGAAAACTTTGTTACATTCCATTATTATGCCAAGTTTCACCAACTAATACAAAACATTGTGAGGTTGCAAGCACATTAGGATGTAAAATTTAAGCATACATTAAAAAAATATTGGAAATGCTTTAGAAACACTTCCACTCTTATTCTGCATTATTACCCATTATATCTGTAGAAGTCATAAAAACACAAAACAGGATGATAATTTGGCTATAGAGGTTAAATCTTGTCTGGTTTTTTGTAAAGCTTATATTTTGGGGTTCCCTCTTATCTCAGCAAGAAACCTTATTTAAAACTGCACACGGACTCTTTTTCTTTGCAAATGAAGGTTGGCTAATTACGCCAGATTCAGCCTTTTCCCACTCCAACTTTCACAGCTGTAAGTCCAACCCGTAATGGTTAGACTAATGCATGCGCACTTCATCTCAAGGTTCACGCCTCTGGGGATGCTGCCACTCTATGCTGAGCAGCTGTAAAGGCTGTAAGTGCCCCTGGAGAAACATCTGGATGTGAGAGCAAACCAACGGGATGATTATGGATGGTTTGGGAGTTGTGAAACCTGGGATGGACCACCAAGTGGCTTTACTCTTGAGAAACGACAGACATGGATGCATGGAAAGACAGACAGGTGAAGAAGGTGAAGCATGAGATATAAAATGATAAGCGATGCACAGATAATCGTGATGCATGAAAGAAACACCACTATTTTCTTTTTCTTGTCAGACAAGCTACAAATTGCATTAAAATAAAAGAGTCTGACATTTTTTCAGACTTAAAAATGACATCCTTACTGCCAAAAACTAACCAACTCATTTGGCTTCTCCTCTCACAGATTGTACAGGTTTATTAAATGTATTTGTCATGTTGGACAGCACCATGCACTGAACCACCCACTGATATACTAGCACATTCTCATGTCGGACTCGTCAACATATTGACGCTTGGGCAGGGACCGTCTGCGTCCAGTTTTGACGCGCCAGATACCCCCCGCGCGTCCGTCCTTGCCACCCGCGGCTTTTCCGGGTTGCATCACTTAGGGGTCTTTGGGTCAGGGGTCTGAGGTTAACATGAGGGATCAGGATTAATGGTTAATTTGAGATACTGGGGTCAGGGATATGCTGTATATAGTTAATATAGGTTAAATTTAGGCTCTGGGATGGTTAGTTCTCGCAAATTCTCTACATTTAAAAAAATGGTTAATATGAGGGTTAATGGTTAATTTTAGGGTCTGTGGTCAGGGATAGGCTGTATAAGGCTAATAGAAGTTAAATTTAGGGTCTGGGATGGTTAGTTTCGTGCATTTCCTACTCTTGTAAAAAAATATGACAACGCGCTCGTCCTCCTCCGCCTCATCTCATAAAGAAAGGATGGGGCTACCCGGCGCGTCCGAATGTGGACGCAGACGGCTACCTGACCAAGCATCAATATGTTGATGCGGGGGGCATGAGAATGCGTTGGATATACAATTGCCTTTAATTAGTAAAGTGGGTGTGGAAGTGTACAGATGATTAGTTTAATTTAACAAAGTTTCTTCTAAACATAGTTTTGTTACAAAAATGAATGCAATAATGCTTTTCTTTATAGATAGATAGATAGATAGATAGATAGATAGATAGATAGATAGATAGATAGATAGATAGATAGATAGATAGATAGATAGAT